TGGGTTATTAATGCCGAAATATAAATAAATTGAACACAATTTTATGGTTCAATTAAATTTATTTTGAATGCAATTGTATGCCTCCAAATACAGAAAAAAATGTCCTATTGGCCATTTTTCTATCAAATGTATTGTTGGTCATTTTGCTATAAACTGTATTGGTGATAATTCTACTATAAAATCTATTGTTGGTCATTTTGATTTAAATTCTATTGTTGTTCATTTTACTATTAAAAATATGTTTGGTCCTTTTTAATTTAAAAATATATTGCTGGGATTTTTACTATAAACATGTATTTTTATACTTTCATAGCGTTTTGTTTAGGGCTTCACTATTTTCACATATCTCGGATCATAACAGGTGCTAAACCCTGGGTCAGGATGGACCTGGTAACAAAAGCAATTAAAAGGTTGTTCCACGCTCCTCAAAGCCTCCAATCTCCCAATCAGAGGCCTTACTTCATAATTCAATTGAGAGGATGGAAGAGGCAGAATTTGTTTTTTTTTTTTTTCTGTCTGACAGTCTCTGGGACAACAGCCTAGCGAAATGACCAACAATTAGAGCGTTGATTCTTAAATTTAGGGATGGGCCTCGAAATGGGTACTTGGACTCGGGAGACATAGCTGAGCGATACTGAGATTAAGAAATAGACAAAACAGATATATCTCTACAGTCACCTCGAGGCGGTGTAATGGTTAACAAGCTTGTCTTGCTAGGAACATTACGATTGAGAAGTGAGTTCGACCATCTCTACGTGCCCCTTATTTGCGGCCTCGTGCCACATCTAAGCTACGCTTGGAAAATCGCAAAAGATATATCTCTAGACGCCTGCAAACGTTGTGAAAAAGTATGCCTCTTTAAAATAAGCCTCAGAAGATACCGGAAGAGACAGAACTTTTTTACTGTCTGTTTACAGGAGAAGAATCCATTGCAGGTTACTCAACCGGTGGGCCCTGGACCACTAATGCGTCCTGAAAGGAGAGCAAGGTTTCCAAGATAACAGAAGAGTATTTTATGACAAATTGCATATTTAAAATATCTTTAATCTTGAAAAGCAAGTGAACTCACGCATATGTAATGGTGTAAAACCAAATGCTTCTTTCAAGAAACTTATTTATTATTTTTGAAAAGCAGTCACCTCAGGCACTTGTAATGGCGTAAAACGAACTGCTTATTTCAGGAGACGTATTTATTATATTTGAAAAGCAAGTGACCTCACCCATATGTAATGGAGTAAAATGAAATGCTTATTTCAGAAGACTTATTCATTATTTTTGAAAAGCAAGTGACCTCACGAAATTGTAATGGCGTAAAACGTGCTGCTGATTTCGGGAGACTTATATATTACTTTAGAAAAGCAAGTGACCTCACGCAAATGTAATGGCGTAAAACGAACTGCTTATTTCAGGAGACTTATTTATTATTTTTGAAAAGCAAATGACCTCACGCAAATGTAATGGCGTAAAACGAAATGCTTATTTCAGAAATCTTATTTATTATTTTCAAATTTTATGACTAATCTTTAATTATTAAAATTTAAAGCACGTCTCCAGAGTTTTAGTTATTTTAAATGTCTCCACTGAAGTGAAAAAAAAAAAAAAAAAAAAAAAAAAAAATATTGACAAACATCCGTCAAGTAGATTAAAAGATTGGTTCGTAAATTTGATGATATAGTAATTTTGAGTTCAATCCCTGGGACGGGCAGTGTGTACATGGCCTCAGTGGAAACAGTGCGAGCAATAACTGAAAAGTACTAAAAATAAGAATTATATGATATCTTCCTAGATATTGAAAGTGGAACCCTCATGGATTTACATAAAGTTTTCAGTTCGGAATTCCCTGTAGGTAGCGCAGATCGATATTGACCTAAGGAAGGCCGAAGGACACAACGGCAGAAGTGTTTTGATGAAAACCACTAAGATTAGGAGAATGATACCCCTTTATTCCCGAATTGTTTTTGTTCATTTTTTCTATCTTTTTTCTATACATGGGCAGTGGAATGAAAACAAACTACCCCCGTAGATGAAATAAAGAGTTCAGTTCGGATTTCCCTCGAGGTTACGCGGATCGATATATCCCTGAAGAAGGCTGTAGGTGAGCGAGCACAACACCCGAAGTGTTGTAATAATCACAAAATGAGGACAATAGTCTGCATGCAAATAGTGTAAATAATAACCTACTGATATTGATGAAATTTTCAGTTTACCTTCTTTTATATGTCGTATAAAAGTTGGGACGTCTGCATTCATGGCCCTTCACAGCTTCCTATCATTTGTAATTATAAATAACAATTGTATTAATATTCATCACAGTGACAGCTATATGATCCATCAAGAAAACTATTAATAGGTTATTCATTGTTTTCCCACTTCTCTTGCTTTTACTGTGTCCTGTGAGTTTTTAATTTTCCAAGCTTTCTTTCCTCTATGTTTTCTTTTTGTGATTGTAAATATAAGTTTGCTTTTCATCCCCACATTCTTAAAACTTCCACTTTGTTCACATTCTCCGCCCGTCTATAGCATTCTCAGTATCCTTCTGTAGAACCATATCGTTGTTGTCCGGATTCCCTGCCATTTATGAGCATTGATATTACGTAGCAGTTTAGCTCTCTTTTATTTATTTCTTTGTAGCGATATTTTCCTATCTCTTATTACCTTGTTTAGTTTCTGGAAAGCATCTTTTGCTATCCTGATACGATTTAGGATTTTTGTGTCACATTTTCCTGGCGTCAGATTTTGAAACATCTGACTGCGAATACGACGCGGAAATCCGAAAAAGCGAAAGATGCCTTCCCAAAGCTAAGTAAAGTATTAAGAAACAAAAGAAATCTCGTAAGAAACCAAGAAATAGCGTAATACCTGTCCTCCACCATGGCAGTGAATGCTGGAAAATCTTCTCACAGATGAAAAAGACAACTGTGTTCCTACAGAAGGATATTGAGGATACCGTGGACTGAACATGTCAGCATCGACGATGTTTAATAGAAACTTGAAATAAAAAGGGCCTTTTACTTAACATCAGAAAGCAACAGGTGAGATTTCTAAGGTACATGACAAGGAAAGAGGGCTTGGAGAATTTAACACTCAAGGGACATACTGGAGGCAAGTAGGACACAGGTCATGACCGTCCTAAATGGCCTGTATAAATGATGGGTTGAACAGAGATTTAGAGAGATGGCAAGAAGACAAAGGAGAAAGAAAATCCCTGATCGCCCACGTCCTGAAGAGTCATGGCACGTAGAAGAAGACTGATTCTGATATTTCTAATTCTTAACTCACATTCTTGGGCTGTTCTTCTTATTGACGAACATATTCTTTCAGGTCATTAGTCCTTTCTTCTCGTTTTTCTTTACTGCTTTGTTTAAGCGTCCTTGCAATTTCCTTTCGGGGTCTTCACAGAGTGATCTGCACATTAAGATTGCTGTTATGATTGCCTCCATCAATAATAAATCCTAACAGAACATCTAGTTCTCTTAAGATCCACTCACTATGTAAATTAAATAAATCCAGATGCTACCTCACAATCAGCTGATAATATACACAATCGGAAAACGAATGTGTGTGTGTATATATATATATATATATACACAATCTCATAGGGATAACATTTCGCATAACAATATGTGCGTGCGTGTAAATATATATATATATACACACACAATCGGATGTACATCAAAGACTTTACATTTCACATAACAAATAAGATATCGTGTGTATATATATATATATATATATACCATCGGATGGACATCAAACACTTTGCATAATAACATTTCGCATAACAAATAAGATATGATCGTGTATATATATATATATATATATATATATATATATATATATGTGTGTGTGTGTGTATACACACACACACAATCGTATGGACATCAAACATATATATATTATTATGTGTGATAGAAATTATTAGGAAGATTTGAGATAATCATAATTAAGTAATTCATTGAGTCTAGAAGAAACCTCAACAGAAAGCACTGGACGGCCGTTTCGTCTTATATAATGGGACTCATCAGGAGTGCGCATCCACTACCGAGAATTGAAACCCGGACAGTTACTTTATCAGGCAAATGTCATACCAACTATTCCAACGGGATGAATCACCCAGTGCTTTCTGCATTTTGTTGAGGTTTTTATCTAGACTCGATGAATAACTTAATTATAATTATCTCAATTCCTCCTACTGATTTCTATCACTTGTATTTCAATATTACTAAATGATCTCGCTGATGTGACCTCCATTTTTTTTTTACTTTTCTTCTATATTTTGGATAGGATTCTAGTTCAAATTTAAATTTAATTTATATCAAAGGGAAACATATTCAGTTGGGGGGTGAAAAACAGCTTGATCTGACCCCTTTGATATGTGTTTGATATAATACTTGATTGAATCAATTGATGTGCAGATTTCAACATTGATATGGTAGTTGAATTGTCGCAATAAATCTATATTGCAAGTCACTATCAACTGGTGATTTCTTGCTCAACTTGACGTCCATATTGTCTCATTTGAATCTATCAATGTGGCCTCCATCTTCTGGCTTTCTCCTTCTATATTTTGGATATGAGTCATTCCCTTGTTCAAAATTAAATTTAATTCAAATTAAAAGGGAAATATATTTTCAGGGGGGGTGGTCCTCACCAGGTACCCTCTTTTATCAAAATAAAATATTCTTATCCAAGTACCCTAAGAGTCATACCCTTTATTCAAATTTAAATTTAATTTATATAAAAGTGAAAACATTTTAGTGGGTCAGTTTTGCCCCTCGGGGATCCCCTTTGATGAAAATGAAATATTCTTATCCAAGTAACCTGAGTAATGTATTTTTCGAATATATATGGTGATGGAGGTCTATCTCTCAAACCCAAGGAGGAGTTCAATAACAAACAGACAGAGGCTACATATATATATATATATATATATATATATATATATATATATATATATATATATAAAAATTTGCGGAGTGGGCTTCGCAGTTAGGAACAGCATGCTGAATACGGTAGAACCAAGCAGCAACGGCTTCAAGAGACTCCTTACTCTCCGCCTCAACACCACCATAGGCCCTGTCATCTTCGTCACCGTGTATGCTCCGACACTCTATGCCACACCGGACACCAAGGACGAGTTTTATGAGAAACTAGCAATCACTATCAGCCATATCCGCAGAAAGGAACAACTTGTTCTCCTGAGCGCCAGAGTGATCATGACTCTTAGCCTTCGTGCCTTGTACAGTTTGGCGTCGGCAAGGTGAATGACAACGGCCAGAGACTGCTCGAGCTATGCACTTACCACAACTTTTGCATGGCCAACTACTTCTTCGGGACCAAGCCCCAGCACAAGGTCTCCTGGAGACATCCACGCTCAAAGCACTGGCACCGGTTGGATCTCATATTGGTCAGACGAGCCACCAATAAACACGTCCATCACCCACGTTCTTACCACAGCGCGGACTGCGATACAGACCACTCCTTTGTGTGCTACAAGATCAAGCATCAACCAAAGAGGTATCATCGTGACAAGAAGCAGGGGCATCCTTGATGTTAGCAAGATGAGCCAGATAGACGTTGTGTAACTGTTTGTCAATCGGTTTGTGGACGAGCGGGCAACCTCGCGGACCGGAGACTCTGCCACGGAGAAGTGGGTAACTTTGCGGGACACCATGCACCGCACTGCCTTGGCCACCTTTGAAAGAAAGACCTCAAAGTCATATGACTGGTTTGAGGCAAAGTTCGCTGAGATGGCTCCTGTCATTGTGGCCAAGTGCGACGCTCTTGCAGAATACAAGCGGTCACCTAGTAAGAGAAACCTGCAGATCCACCGAGCTGCCAGTAGCAAAGATCATCAAACTGCCAGTCACTGCACCAACGAGTACTGGACAGAGCTTAGCGAAACCATCCAGACAGCAGCAATTAGAGGGAACATAAGAGGGATGTACGATGGCATCATGACGGCAATGCGGCCAATGCAGAACAAGACAGCTCCCCTCAAATCCACCCCTGGTCAAGTCATCACTGACAAAGGGCAACAGATGGAGAGATGGGTGGAACATTATTCTGACCTCTACTCCAGGCAGAATGTTGTGACGACCGCAGCCGTTTGATGCCATTGAGTGCCTGCCGGTCAATGAAGACTTCGATACCGAACCGACCATAGAAGAGCTTAGAAAGGCCATTGACAGCTTAGCCTCAGGGAAGTCCCCTGGCAGTGACGGGATCCCGCCTGACCTGTTCGGGCACTGCACAAGACTGTCCGACTGCTCCCATTGCATGAAGTCCTCTACTAGTGCTGGAAAGAAGGCGTCGTACCTCAGGACATGAGAAATGCCAAGATCATCACCCTCTACAAGAACAAGAGTGAGGGTTTTGGGTAAAGTCTTCGCTCGGGTTTTCTTAGTCCGCCTGAGAGAAACTTGCCGAACGTGTCTACTCATATGACTGGTTTGAGGCAAAGTTCGCTGAGATGGCTCCTGTCATTGTGGCCTTCGTGCTCAGTGTGGTTTTCGAGCTTAAAGATCAACGGTAGATATGGTCTTCACCCTCCGCCAGCCCCAGGAGAAGTGCAGAGAACAGCAGATGCCGCTGTATGTCGCTTTTATTGATCTCACCAAGGCGTTCGATCTCGTCAGCAGAGGACTCTTCAGAATCCTGTCCAAGATTGACTGCCCACCCAAGCTGCGGTGATTGATTGAGTTATTCCACAGTGACATGCAGAGGACTATGCAGTCCAATGACAGCACAATGAAACCCTTCAACCTCTGCAGTGGGGACAAACAGGGCTGCGTCTTCGCTCCCACTCTCTTCGGGATTTTCTTCGCGTTGATTCTGAAGCATGCATTCGGCACATCAAGAGAAGGGATTTACTTGCGTACGACATCAGATGGCAGGTTGTTCAATCTCGCTCGCCTCAGAGCCAGGACCAAAGTACGGGAAGCCCTTGTCAGAGACATGCTTTTTGCTGACGATGCAGCGGTAGCGACTCATCCAGTGTGAACCTCAGTCACTGATGAACCGTTTCTCGCAGACCTGCAGAGACGTCGAGCTGGCCCTCAGCCTGAAGAAGACAAACGTACCGAAACACCATCAGTCATCACCGTTGATGACTGTGAACTCGGCGCGGTTCATCAGTTCACGTACCTTGGCTCCACCATTACTGACAACCTCTCCTTAGACGCAAAGATTGACAAGAGAATCAGGAAGGGAGTCACAACACACACACGCCTCACAAAACGTGTGTGGACCAATCCCAAGCTGTCGGTTAAGATCAATATGGCAGTGTACAACGCCTGTGTTATCAGCACACTGCTATATGGCAGCGTGGCTTGGACTATGTGTTAGAATTTTTGGGTACGTTGGTACTAGTGAGCCAGTCAAAATTAGCTGACTAATTTTATAGTTCACCAATAGAAGGATTAACCAATCAGAAAGCTCAAAATATTCAATGCGACGTGTATAAAGGCAGCCATTTTGTTTTTTCTCCCAAAATATCTCCACTGCCAACCGAATTAACAGTCGCTACTTTCTCCGAATCTACACTGCCAACCTCTGATATTGAAGAGATTACGGACATCACTGGATTCCATATTCAGAGACTACGGCAAACATGGTCAACACTACGTACGTCAAGCAAGAAAGACATCTGAACACCTTTCACATGAGAAGCATCCATCGCATCCTGGGAATAGCGTGGCAAGATAATGTGTCTAACACTGAGGTCCTGTCTCGAGCAGGTTTGCCCAGCATGTTCACTCAGTTAGCGCAGACTCCGTTGATTGGGCGACGTCGATCGCATGCCAGACGGCCGCATTCCCAAAGACCTCCTGTACCGAGAACTGGCCGCTGAAAGGAGACCCGCCGGTCGGCCACAGCTGCGGTACTGCGATGTCGTGAGACGCGATATGAAAACTTTGGACATCAACACAGAGTCCTGTGAGAGTCTGGTAGATCCGAATGGAGAGAAACCCTGACTAAACACCTCAAGTCAGGAGAGGAGAAGCTGACACAAGTCGCCACGGAAAGTCGGGCCCGGAAAAAGCAAAGTGACAGCTCCAACAGACCAGAGACAGAGCACACATGCGACCTCTGAAACAGAGATTATCACACTCGCATCGGCCTCTACAGTCAGACGTCGATGCTCCAGCCAAGCAGATAACTAGGATGCTACCCATGGTCAACGCTGATCGACGGACGCCTACATGACATATATATATATATATATATATATATATATATATATATATATATATATATGGGGTGGGGGGTCTAGCCAATTTCATTTAGATTCTTTTCCTTTTCAACTACACCAGGCAGCAAGGCCTCGCATTGCGAGAGTGGAGGTTCTGAGGAGCGTTGAACAATATCTTAATTGCTGGTGTTCCCAGGTCCACCCTGACCAGGGGTGGTAGCACCAGTTAGGGTCCCAGCTATGGAGAAAGAGTGAACCCCAATCACTGAAATTAATATATATATATATATATATATATATATATATATATATATATATAAAGTATCGACATTAAATAACCCCTTGATGTGTTGATATGCCGCTAAAAAAAACAACCAAATTACCAGTCATTTACATTATTCGGACTATTGTCTTCATCTTTGTCGCCATATTTATTACAACGTTTCGGCCGTTGTATGATCCGGCCTTCTTCAGGTGGTTGGAATGTCGAACTGAACCCTTTATTTCGCTCACTGGGGTAGACTGTTCTAGTTCCACGTGTCATGTTTTTAAATGGATGTTAGTTATCAGTTATCTCCTGTTAATTTCTCTCTGAAAATTCTCCACTGCTTTAACCGGGTATTGAACTCACATTCTTTGGGTCCTGTTACTGCATCTAACCAACGCCTTTATCCACTGTGCCATGTGCCCTTGAGGACAACTACCTGAAGATGGCTGGAGCGTACAACGGCCGAAACGTTGTGATATATATGACGACAAAGATGAGGACAATAGTCCGATTAATGTAAATAATGTACATAATACCTCATCTCAAAAATATAAACAGATACCAGTCTTTTAATTTTTTCTCATCATTTTTATATTAAATATCCCACATTGTAATAAAAGAGGATCCTGCCAAGAATGGTAAAACGTTGTAAGAATCTGGAAATTTACTCTGGATTAAGGCACTTTTAGAACATTTTCGTCTAACGAATAATTTTCTCTTTTTAGTGTGGCAAGTCTTTCACTTCTCTATTGTTATTTCCATAGCAGTGTACTTACTTTCCATCAGTTTGGACAGCTAAGACCTGCCATGCCACCGATACGGGGTTAAATCAATCTAATTTCCTTTGTATTCCATTGGTAAGGATGAAGTTCCATTCAGAGACTTTGCTTCCTTAGAGTTGCTAATTTGCGAAAGACATGGCCAGTAGGATATCCCTGTAAACACTGCAATCTTAACTTCTTCAGATTTCATGTTAACCATTATCTACTTTCAACACATTCAGTCAGTAGCCTCCTACCTTGAGGGGCTCTTGAGCCTTACACTTGGAGAACAACTTTAGACATTTCTATTCGTTTATCGGTATACTAGCAATTACCATGGGCTGTAATACAAGTTTGCATCGGAATAAAGGGAGACTATAGAAAATCAGAAAATGTAATAAACAGGGAGTCTGAAAAAATGAGAACATCTAATAAACGGGTGGAGTATCAATAAAGGGGGTAGCTGCAAAAATATTGAGACGAAATCTTTCAAAATATAACCTGAAGCCGAAGAAATGTCTTTAAGTGAAATGCTTTAACAAAATTGAAAATATTTCAATGATGTCCGGCCAGGGTTACAATATCAATAATCCACTTGTGACCAACAAATGAATTATATATATATATATATATATATATATATATATATATATATATGTATATATTAGGAATTGTACAAAATCAAACAATTATTTTAAGACATTTTTATGTTTTATACATTATTTTTATAGATACAAATATTTAAGTAAATGTTCTGTTTATAATAAACAGTATTAAACAACATTTACCGGCCTGAATGTCGAGAAATTTTCACAGAAAATATTCGTCCTCCGGTAAATGTTGTTTAATACTGTTTATTATAAACAGAGCATTTATAAATATTTGTATCTATAAAATAATGTATAAACATAAAAAATGTCTTTATATATATATATATATATATATATATATATAAGCATTACATGAGCAAGGCGTGAAGCCACTAGGATGCAGGGGGTTGCAGAAGATTTGGAGCGAGAGTAGATAGGAGTGATAGAAGAAAGGATGAGGAGAGGGATAGTGGGTAGATCAAGGTAACTGGAGGTGTCGATTAACATTACATTTGAATAGTTGGAGATTATAGCTCTCAGGGAAACAGTAATTAGGAATATATATATATATATATATATATATATATATATATGTGTGTAAACTCAATTTTGAGGACAATAGGTTAAATACAGCAAATTTGACAGGCGAATTATGCAAAATAGGAAAGGACAAAATTATTTGAACAGTATGAAAAATAATTTCGCCTGAAAATTGAGTTTTGTGTTCCTTTTTTGTGCTTATTAACATATAAAAAATCTGGAATCATATGGGCATTAGATTCTGAGAAATGGATAAAAATATTTAAAATTGATGGGTGTACGAATAATTTCGCCCTTGACTGTATATATATGCATGTATGTATGTAGGTATGTATATGAAAGATTTCGTCAGAATGGATGACAGTTGCATTCCAATGCATTTGTTTTATGGTGAGCACTGAACAGGGATGAGAAATGCCGTCAAACCTAGGATTCGCTTTAAGGACTGCATCAAGATGCACTGCAGAAATGCAACATTACTTGGAAGAATTGGGAAGAATATGCATCTGATCGCAATAATTGGAGTGAGGTTGCTTGTAGCAGAAAACCTTCACTTTGAAGATGAGAAAAGGAGGCACGCAAAGCTTAAAAGAGATGTGCATAAAGGCGGCCATGAAGACACACGCGATCTACTCGATCTGATGTGTACAGATTGTAGCAGAGTGTGTTTGTCGATGGCTGGTCTAAGGACTCATTTGAGAGCGCACCGACGGAAGGTAGCAGTTGTTGATAAAACCACAGACGTCCAGCAATTGAAAGGTGATATTTGTGGTAAGATATGTGGGTCCAGAAGCGGTTTCATGAGACATTTTACATTGCATGATAATGTTCTACCCGCTATTGGACATCTTAAGTGCCCTGTTTGTGCCAGAGTATGTAGGTCCCTAGGTGGGCTAAAGATCCGCATTTGTTCAGCACATCAGTAGATATTCTCCCAAAAGATATGTAGTCATGGCCGTACCCGGAACTAACATATCAAAGATATGAAAACCATTGGCTATTATTCAAAATATAAAAATAACAGTATATTTTCGAAACACATATGGGAACTAAAAATGAAGGGAAAGCACCAAGTGTTTACAGTAAAGTTCATCCTGTGCAAGGCCTGGGAGCCACTCGCGGTAAAGGGATACGTTAGGAGGCAGTTTGTACGGAGAGTAAGAGAAGATAACTGTTAAAACATAGATTTGAACAGGTTAAGATATTAAGAATGTGGATGACTTGCTACAATGTAATTGCTATGATGTGTCCTAGTCGTTAAGGTTGGAATCTAGTTCGTCCGAGCACTTCCTGAGGAAGTAACAATAGAGAAGTGAGAAGCTTGTCTTATCCCGCCTGTGAGAGAGAGAGGTTGGACGGTGAAAAATAATTTGTCACACATAAGGACTCTTTTGGACGCTATCGAAACTGTAGAGTAAGGTCTGGGCACCTTTCGCCCAAATATAACAACACTGTTCCATTTATGGCCTGATCTGGTTCTTGCAAACGTAGTGGAAAGAGGATGAGTCAGGTACTTACTGGGTCAGTGAGCCGGCTATTTTACCTGCATCTTTAGCGATGGATGAGATTCACTTGAGGTCGGGTGTGAGTTTGAGGCACAAAGTGTTAAAGAAAACGAGAAAAACTGAATCTATATATGGAAGAGAAACTAAAAATCAAGGAATTCAAGAACAGAAATGGGTTAAGAAACAAATGAAATAAAATTATTGCGAATTGTTGGCACTCTGAAGCATTCCTTTTGAAAAAACCTAAAAGGAATGTAAATCGTCAAGGGAAACAAACACCCATTTTGAAATATCGCACTGCGTGAAACAAACTGTTAATGGGCCAATACTCAAATTTTACATGAATTAGAACGATTATATTGAGGTCTGCTGCTCTGAAAATTGCTTCACTGTGCCTTGGTAGACATTTTGGTCTCTCGAGAATACAACTTGCACACTCATAAATCTACAATTTATCCCTGCATTGAATATTGCTGTAACATGTGGTCTAGTGTTTTTCTGATATGCATTTAGAGATACTCGAAATAATCCAAAGAATCTACAATGTTATCCGTCCTGCCCTGGTATCTCGGCTTTAATTTCTTTCCCATCGGCCTAACGTAGCCTCTATTTGCATTTCCTATAAATATTTTGATGGTAATT